AGTGTTTGAAAATATTTCAGGTTAATTTTTCAAATGAATTTAATTAACAAATAAGATCGATCAATCGTATCTACCATCTCCCGTTCGCTCCTCTTGTTGTTATATTTGTTAGGATTGCATTTACATAAAGCATACGTACATGCTTGATACACGGCACATTTGAATCGTATTTTATTTAAAACTTATTATTTATTTATCTCAGGTAGACCGATGTCTCACCGGTCTGGCATGTAATTGCCCTAGGTCGCCGGCCAAGTATTTAAAAATACATAGTAGGCACGATAGGCCACGTGCGCGCGCGGAAACTATTTCGGAGTGATAGAACGAACGGAATCATACTTCCCTGCGATACATTTATTAATTATTGTTTTTAGTATTAGCGAATGAACTTAAAGTCATGAAAATACAAGATCCAAGGTCTTATGTCATTGTTTTGATTAGAGATCGATCCGTAATCGACTGCCTATCCGTGGAACTCCCTTTTTCCAAAAATCAACGCAAGACTTTGAAATTTGTTATCGCAGATAGAAATCTTGTCGACCGTATAAACAAACCAATGAATTTTAGGTTAATTTTATTCCCATCCTATGTCGGTATATTTCTACTTGTCTTCGAGGGCAAAAACGAATAGAAAATAACGTCAGTTAAGAGAAATCGGCAACGAGCGGTCTATAATTCTCTGCCAGAGTATTCATTCGATATCTCTCTCTCTCCCACATAGTAATTCCATACCAATACTATCCTCGTTATTTCTTTGAAAAAGAAATTTGACGCAATCCTCTTGCCGGTAATCGCGGTTATCTACTCTCTTCTCGAGAGTAGTCACTGAAAATCTAGGCATTTTCTTGCGATTACAATCTCTCCTAATTTTCACTCCTCACGAATAGAAACATTTTTTGTAGATTTATGTTAAGTTAAATATAAGACATCAAGATTTCGATTGCTACACAAATATTCTTATTGTTTCATTGTATTTGTCGTTTTCTCCTATTGCTTTTTAATATACCTATATCGTAACACTTGTACGCATCCAATTTTGTATTTGTTGAAAAAAAAGAAAAAAACTAGAAAAATCCAAAGAGTTCCGTAAAATCAACAATATTTATCTTTATGTAGCACAGTCTAAATTTGACTCTCCTCCAAACTTTTTCATTTGATTTTTCTATTTATAACTATTCCAAGTTACCTAACCTACATCAAAAAATAATATGCGTCTTTTATATTTTTACGATCATTTTTGCATAATGTAATTTTGCATAATACATTGACAATGTAATATTAATAAACAAAATCATAAATTCAAATAAGAGGAGAAATAAAATCGATAGACTTTTTATATACTCTTCTGGTCTTTAATTGAAAAACATTTCCAAAATAAAGTATTACCAATTTGAACAAGGATTAACTTAAAACTAGAACATGATAGTTTGATGGGTTCCCATTTTTAATATTAAATTCCTCACGAAAGACATTACTCGTAGAATTTATTGAACGGCTAGGCGTTATATCTGAAAATAAGATATTATATATATCAAAATTAGTTCTATAATTACAATAGAAAAATTTGATCTTATGCTATGAAACTCAAAAGAAGTATAAAAATATCTACTTAAAAAAAATGTTTCCTCTACAAAGATTCGAACCCGAGAACAATTTTCATTCAACATTTCTGCACAAGCGCATTTCTGCACAAGCTCATTTCATACCTTTCGTTCGTGACAGTCGTCACATTGCGTGCAGTCGAATCGATTTGCAGGAAAACTTATTTTTTCTTGACAGGGTTATACATGGGACACATTTTCAACTTATTATATGTCAAAGGTTCTATAAACGTTTATTACAACTCTATTTACACGTATATTTACTTTTGTCGTTGTTTACATAGAAAAATAGTTCTAGATAGATGCGATTGTTTGGATGCATCTTTGGTTTGAATGCACGAACAGAGAGAGAGAGAGAGTAGGAGAGAGGAGAAAACATCGATAAAACTCGTATTACGAATTGGCGTAAAACAGTCACGCACAGTCGCAAAATGTCACTGACGACGTCGTTTGAAGGAAAAAAAATATCTGGCGTTTCGAGTTCGTGTTTGTTAAAGTACATTCCGATTCGCAACAAGTGACCTGAAATCGTCTCGAACGGGGGTCTTTCTTTCTATTTTTACTTTTTCCTTTGTCATAGGATAAGAGAAAAGAACGCTTACTAATAGATAGAGACACTTGTCTTGCAAAGTTTTCCTATAATCGATGCGATGCGATGCGATGCGATGCGATACCACCACCGCATCGTGTCTCGTTTTGAGTTATGGTGGTGATCATTTTCAAATGCAACTTTCAAACAAAATTTGCTTACCGGCATATATCATAATTTTCAATTATACATGCCGTGAATACTTTCTTACGCTAGACATAGCTAGCGAGCATGTTCGAAAATAGAAAAAGAATGCGGCAACATATATTGGAAAATATTTTCAAGATATAAGAAGGATCCGCCGCGCGCGGTGCGGTGCGGTGCGGTGTCTTTGTCAGCAGCAGCAGCAGCAGAGTCAGCGTTTTATAAATCCGTGCACAGCAACGGCTAAATAAACTTTCTGCCACGTATAAACGAATAAAACAATGGCAAGTACGCGTTGACGTCATTATCGCTGACCGATTACACACACCACACACACACACACACACACACTATCCGAACGAACGTGTGTATAGTTAGTTTTCAACGCGTATATCTTGCACCCATTCACGATTCACTCCATAATTTTCACTCGAAAAAGAAAATCTAATGTCAGTAAGTAGGTGACGTGCCATAAATATCCAAGCGTGTCCGCATTACGTGTTTGTTACCTGCTACTATCTTCTTCTTCTTATTATTTTCTATTATATCTTGGCTGCGCCAATTGGTTAGTCAAATCCATCATTTATTCGAATCTGCATACGAGTATAAACTTTCGAAAAATCATCAATCTTTACGCAGACATATACCAGAGATAAACACCAATTTCATCGGTGTACCTCGTTAAACTTGATTTTAACAATCTCAATGTACATATAATGTATTTACGATCGTTCGTAATCTTACGAAAAAGAGATCATTTTCGACAATTTCGAAAGACCTAAATTATTCTTTTATTTCAATAAATAATTCTTAACAATAGAGATATTACTTTTTTCTGATAAAACAACGAAGGAAAAAATAGATTTAAAAGCAGTCGCTTGTACAACGCAGATCATTGAAAAACAAGTTAAAAGTATTCCCGAATGCGTAATTATTACGTAATCGGGAAAACGAAAGAAACAAAATGAATAAATGTCGAAAATCAAATTCAGACACACCAAAGTCAGGTCCCATAGAAATTTTCCCTGTCATAGAACTTTTTCAAATGCTACTAATATGCTCGCTTATATAATTAATCTCATTGTCAGATTTTTGATTTTATTTGTATCCTCGATTACGTTATTTCGATTTCAAAATCTAAAACCTTTTATTCGTATTTAATATCGATCATTCTGCGTGTGTGATATGAAAATACTTGAAAGATAAATTGAATTGAATAAATAAATAAATAAATAATTGGAAATACATATACGTTTATACAAAACTAATAATATATCCACTTGATGATTATCTTTAATTGTATTCAAGATGACATATTGATCGGAAACATTGTTCGTCAAATATTTACAAGCTCTACCATCTTTGACGTATTCGCATCGTCCCAACCGAGGTCCAAAAATTCGACTGTTTGTTGTTTTTGGAACAGTGACAGGGGGGTGAGTCTTACGAGCACCAACAGTAAAAGTAACGCGTTAAATTTCGACGATTAAATAGTCGAACTTTGATCTTTCTTAAAGAACTAACGTTGAACCTCGTTTTTTACTACACAAGTACTCATTCCTCATACTCATACGCATTCCTCGAATAAAATCATCCTTCGATGTAATTCAATGACGTTCAATAAACCAACTATCTTTGATGTTTAAAACATTTCGCGCAATTAAATGCATATAAATAGGGATACATGACAGAACATACGTAAAGCATAAACTTATGTTAGCAACTATTTTCGAATAAATCAAAACTGCCGGCAGTGTGTTTAACTTTCTGCTGCATTTTTTTCTCAATTACTTGAACTATATAAGCAAGAACGAAGGAAAACTTTTGTTTTTTTGGCTAGCATGACAAAGTCGCAATGAAAACGTTTAATTAATGCACATTGCAGCAGTTTCTTGTCGAAAACAAATGACTCGTTTATTATGATTTTGATCTCGCATTGTTTCCATAGTCAATATCCAAAACGTTTCTTGGCTCTGTTCTTAGTTAGACAAATTGTAGCTTTGCTTATAATAAAGAATTCAACTCGTTTCGAAATGTTCTCTACTGTTGTTATTATTATTATTTCATAGTTACATTTCGTGATGTTGGAATACTTTGACTATCATCGATAATATTAATAAAATTGACAAAGTTACTGACCCAGCTGTTAAATTTACTAAAAAATGATTGCTCGAAATACCGCTGCAGATACTTGAAGCTTTATTAACAGGTCCATACCGTTCTTAGATACGTCGCTTGAAAATAAAAGAAAAGAACAGGAAGAAATAAGAAGAAATGAAATTGAAAATGTTTGCCGCCAACGCGAATGAATTTTTCTTGACGACTCGCGAGTGTCTCGGCCGATGAGAGGGGAATAAAACTTGGTAAAACTTCGGCAAAACAAAAACAAACAATTCTAAATTAGTCTTCTTCTGATGTTTGTTCGAGAATGAAAATTGAGAAGGGACTAGTTGTGAATGGATTGTTCGCACGTTATCGTCCGTCGATGGTTGGTGGCACGCTGGAAAAACAAAAATGCGAAAAGAGAGTTTTCCCATAGATTCTAAAGCAGAGTTATAAGCTTCGATCGATACAAGGAAGGAATCGATAAAAAAACTCTCTCTCTCTCTCTCCCCCTCTCTCTCTCTCTCTCTCTCTCTCTCTCTCTCTCTCTCTCTCTTTCTCTCTTTGGTGAGGAAGAGACAGAAGGAAATAAAGGAAGAAATAGATAGACAGATAGAAAGATAGAAGAAAAGAGATGGCGAATAGAATGAAGTCACTCTATAACCAGGTACGAAAACTAAAGAAACTTACATTAAAGTGGGAGATGCAGTCAGAGCCATGAAAAAATTTTGAATAATTTTTCTTTTTTTCTTTTTTTTTATAATAATTAAGTTTGTTTTATATAAAACTGTTTACACAGAGTTTTTCAATTGTTTTTTAACTTGATGTCTACGAAATTTTAAACAAAAAATATTAATTATTTATAAAAAATATATCGTCACCTTTTTTTTTGTTGGACCCAGTTTCACAAGTTGTGCTTCGCGGTGACCATCGGGAACACACATCTTGCTGGATCATTTAAAATAAAAAAGAAAAAATATATATCATTAGTTTAATAATAAATCTTGTTCTTCGTCAAAGCTTTTTTAGTTTTTTTACAAATTAACATGATGGCGGCTTTTGGCATTTTTTTTTTTCGATTGCTATTAGTAAGTAGTAGAAATTTCTTCAAAATCCATCAAATGGTTATTGAATTATAGTGGTCACCGACTTGACAAACATAGTTTCGAGAAAAACTCATTTAAAGTTTTTTTTATTTGGATACGGTATTATATTTTCGTAAAATTTTGAACTCGATGGATGAAGGTAAACTTTTTTTTTATGTATTGTGATCCGCTGAATCCGAATATCACAATTTTTTTGTCGAAAAGTCGAAGTTCGGGATGAATGAATTTTTCTTTATGTAATTTGAACAATTTCAAAACGAAAGTATTCCTGATAAAATCTTGCTAAAGCTCATAATTTTAGAGTTATAAATTTTTGAAAATTGACAGCCGTCTTTATACGCTGAAAATGAATTTGCAGCTTCCGTCCGCTATTTATCAATTGAAGGATATATCGAAAACTATTCATCGAATTAACTAGAAATTTTCAATAAATATATATATATATATATATATTCGAAAGATCATACTTGAATAAAATGCAAAAAAAAAAGTAACATCGATTGTTTAAAAATCCTGACTGCATCTGTCCCCTTAACGGCTCATTCGCTAGAAACCGAATTTCATTGTCTTTTTGTTTGTTTTTTTATTTCATTGTCTTTTGCGATGGCGCATGTTTCGATGAAAAAATTGTATTGCCTATTAGAAAAACGTAGGTTTTAATTAACCCAGCGACGAATCGTTGTCGATCCTGAAGGAAAAAAAATGTCGAGTTGAATGAACGTAGAACTCAACCGTTGTTCGATGTAATCTTACATAAAAAGTGTTTTCCACGTTGGCTTTATGGTCCTACCGTTAGGTTAAAAAATTCGGTTGTTTGAAATGCATGCGCTATTGCAGGAGGCAATAAAATCCAATAGCGAAGGAGCCGTGTTTAATGGATTTTTTTGTGCGGATCGACAAAATTGTAGAAATGTTATTTTTTAGAATAGTCTCGTCGCATTTTCGTAGGTAATATTCGAAAGGCGAATTTTGCTCGGTTGCACAGCCCTCCTTGGACTCTCGGTGTGCATATGGGCCGTAGCAATAGGAACCGACCATTGGTTCACCGTCGAAGCACCCAATGACCAAGGCCTGCCGCTGGGAGATTCTGGAGCGACTGGCCGGAGACTGATCTACAAGCATATGGGTCTCTGGAGGGGTTGCGTCAGTGGTTTAATACCTAAAACGAAGAATTCCAGCGAGCTAGTGCCTTACAGTAAGTGCGCGTTCATTTAACACGTTTACTGCACCCCACTTTTTACTGACGGTCACGATATTTTTTCAATGTCAATATATTACAAAGTAGATTACGGAAACCAGGTGAGCACTTTTAAATAAATAATCCAACGTAGTCCAACGAAACTTCCTAACAAATTTCATTTGCGATTCGGTTGCTTATTTTCCTAATTGCCCGCAGAACAAATTCAATCGAGTACTTTCAATTATCGATTATTATCAAACGGCACAGTTGCACAGAAGTTTCAAACGTTTTACAAATGAACGATCAACTTAATTATACGTTCTAACCATGATTGCAAGTTTGTATTTTAGTTGTTCTATTTACTTGTCTACTAAACTATCCTGTGCCAATTCCTATTAAAATGTATACGCACAATTTCCGACATTAAATTATATACGAGAGTTAGCCACGAATGCATTCGCAGTAATAAAAACATTAAACTCAAGGCTTGATGTCGAAAATTACGAAAATCATTTTATTTTCCGACTTCTTAACCGATCAAAAGTTTCAAGCATTGCCTGCCAAAACAATGTTTTAAATTAATATACAGGGTAATTCGCAGTTGTTAATGCTCGTGAACGTCAGACCACCATCTTAATAATATATCCTCCATCTGTAATAATATTAACAAATTTTCTTACGTTATTGAAATGCTTTTAGACGAAAGAAAATTATTTTTATCATTCCCTAATGGCTTTTTCAAAGTCACACATGTTTTTTTATTTTTTTTTATTTTTACGTTTCTGAATTTCTACACGGATACATACACTTTTTGCTCTACGCGTAGACAAAAAAGTGTACTTTAATTTAATATAAGTTTCATTAAAATCTATTCACTTTCAGTATAAAAAATATTTACCGAAACTTTTCAAAGAAATTGCAAAGTTGTACAATTTACAGCATTGCAATCTCTGATATTGTGTGATCGTATGGCTGCGTGTCTCTGTCTCTAAGAATGTAATCTTTTCAACGTTGTTTAAATAATAATTTGATATTCTATAGGATATCAAAGTAATTATGTTCTCGATGCCTAGGAAAAAGTGGAAGAATTTTTCAATTTCCGACTTCGTCTGAAGGCTCTTTGCATTCATAGTAATGCCGAGGAATTACTAGCAATGATTGATTTTCGGTTTTGACGGTAACATATACAATTCTATAATGAGTTTAGACAAAATTTAATGAAAAAATATATTATACGTGTGGGGATACAGAATATCTTAGAAGTGTGTGATCATAGAGTGTTTAAGTTTTCCATCTTGATAACATCAATGTTAAGCGTTAATGATTAAGTCATTATTATTACCTTTTATATTTTATTCAAATTAAAATAAAATAAATCTTATATACGTAATATTACTTGTGTGGAAATGACTCGGATTTGAAAATGTCTACATTAACATCGAATACTTAAGTTATTGTCTAGTATTTTGGTATCAAGCACTTTATTCGCGTCGTGCAATAATAATAAAAATGCATCAAATTTAATTATACGATTGAGTTTGACCCCTTAACTTATTTATAACAAATATTTTTCGCATTATCGTAGATGGTACTTATAAGTACTTATAACTTAGATTTGGTACTTATAATATTTATTCAAAACACACTCACTTTCCTCAACGCGTTATCTAATTGTCGATGGAATTATCTTGGGGAGGGGGGAATTGGAGTGACGAGTAAATGACGTCGACTAATATTTGCGAAAAAAACAAGGCTGACCATAGAATCGATTATAGAATAAATATTGTATAGAAGATTCGAATATGAACGGGTTGGCGATGAAACGAGGAATTGTCGTCGACGTTAGTTTCTTACATTTAACGCACGTGTGCTGCTTTCGTTGAGACTTCAGAGACGAGTGTTTCGACAAAATAAACGAGGAGCCAGAAATAAATGAAAAGAAGGGGGCTCGTCTTTCTCCCGCTTCTGCTTCTTCTATCCTTGTTTCGTATGCCAGTAAAGTTGCTTGCTTACGTGCTAGATAGAACGGACAGCTTGGAAAGATTACAAAATCAAACTACGATTGTATGGATTTTTTTTATACCAAAACCCATCCCTGGGAAATGATCAATTTTAGTTTTTCATTTAAAGTTTCGAATAATAATTCAAACGAATACTTTTATTAAGCGCCCAGAACAAAGATATTTTATGAAACGCGAACTGATCGTAGATCAATTTATTATAAATCGAAATATTGTCAAAATAGTGTAATAATATATAGTATCAAATAATATAGTAATAACATGTAGAGTATAAAAATAATTATATGAAAATAGTAATAATAAAAAAAGTGATAATATAAAATGTAATAATATTGTTATGTTAAATACAATTGAAATATATCATTTAGAAATGTTTTCTTTGAAAAAGAAATGATCTTATTCGTTTGTATTTTTCATAGGTTTATATTAAATAGCCAAGGAAGTATAAAAATCGTAATTTGTTGCTTTCAGGAGAATGCAAATATCAGGAAATGTTTCCACCTGAATCGAAGATAGACATGGATCCAGGTTTAGACAGAACGGTTCTTAGTAAGTGATACTTCAATTAAACGAAATATTAATATATTCAAATATAAATCAATTATACGAATCTTAAAAGAATAAAAATAAGAATGAATATTCTAGAAAAAAAAAGTAACAGAGTTCTTTGATCGTGTGGAATTGGCAACAAAACGAAATTTCGACCAATGGACGAGCATAAATTCTAAATCCTCTTAGTCAAAATTTATCGAATAATTTTGCAGAGATTATGAAAGTCGATATGCTCGCATCTATCGAAAAATATAAAAAAAAAAAAAACAAAAAAAAAAACAATACATTTTCTTTTCTTTTTTATCGTTTAACAATATTTCTAATCTATCTCTTGAATTTTTCATTGCAACTCAAACGATCGATAAACATTAAAGAAAAACCACGTGGTATGTATAGAAAAATCAAAAAAGAAATGATTAATTCGACGAATACTTATTACAAATTACCTTTCAAATGACCTATCCTAAATACCTAAATTCAACGAACAGAGATGATCGAGAGAATCGAGAGAATCGATAATGCAATCGCATTGGAGTTTCGAGTTTTCTGATAAAATAAAAACATCTCATTGTTGACACATAGAATATATTATTTTAATTATATTATTTCCATTATTTTTTTCTCCAAATATATAACTGTAGAGAAAAATATTAAGTACCCTCCTAACAGAGATACCAAATATTATCAATTACTTTTCAACTTGAAAAGAGAATCAATTATTTTTATATTTTGATTAATAAAAATATCACATATATAACGTGTAATTTTAGCGATTGCGAGTAATAATGAAATGAGTGATTTATACGATACATTTTCCATTGTTCGCAGATTATGCGAGGACTCAGGTCTCGTTCGCTGTTATTAGTATGTTTATAATGATAATGGGATTCTGTTTCTCCATCTACACGTTCCGCAACCCACGGTACATGTTCAAGCGACTAGCTGGTGGAATACATTTCATTAGTGGTAATTCATTTCAAATATTGCGCAAACGTAATTACGATTAGAATTTTTCAAAATTCCAATTAAAAATAAATATAACTTAATAATAATTTATGCGACATTTAAACAGACGTAAAACATTAAGCCTGTAAAGCTCGCGCGCATATGTATTTAAGTGAAAAAACTTCCTCATAGTTTCGAAATATATTTTAATAGGTTTTTTTACGCAAACAAATATCAATTTAGTCGTAACGCGAACAGATGGATGGTTCATTTCAAACATTAGTTCATCTCCATTATTTCAAATATAAAAGTCGACACGTTCAAATATTGTTAGACTAATGCAAAAGTAATTATGCAAATATAATAGAGTTTCAAATTGAAAGGAGTCTAAAATCATCGAAATATCGTATTTTTCATGAAATTTTGTTAATTTTGAATGAATTGAATTTTGTACGGCTCGTTGTTTTGATGAAATAATTGTGGAATTGATTGTTACAGCTGCTTGCAACATGGTAGTCATACAAGTCCTACTTTCCTCGGTCGAATACGAGAGAACGAACGTTTACGAAACGTTTCCTAAAGGTGCATCCATGAGATACGATTTTTCTCTTATCCTTGCATGGATCGTCTTCCTTTGCAACCTAGTCGCGGGATGTGCTTTCATGCTTTTCTCAAGAAAAAGGAAAAGAGATAAAGCGCCAACCGAGGAAATCGCTATGGCCGATGAACCAACGATAATCGGTCGTTAGGGTTGTAAGGGAGTAGGAATGTAGAAACGTGTCAAGTTAAATGAAACACTCTGTATACTCAAGACACAAAAAAAAGGTATAACTACGCTTGCGCGTCTACGTGGTTTTACTACGTTACATTACGCGCAGAGCAAAGCTTTCCAAAAATATCACCCCATTATATTATTTCTCGTCTTCTCCGGTTCTTCGTCTCTTAAAAATAGTTGTCCGCCGAAATATGTGTATATATATATATACACATAACAACTATATATAGAGACGAGTAACATCCAAGATAATACAAAAAGCACGATGATCTTCGTTATTTTATTAATTAATTCGTTATAATACTACTACCTTGGATTGATATATCGCTTTGATCGCACATAATAGTACGATTTAAGATTTTTGCAACGTATTAATACATGTGTAAATACATATAACTATTGTTTTACTTATTATAAGATCTACGACAAGTACAATTTTCAATAATGTATATCACGAAAACGAGCGTTTAAGTTCGTATATATATGGGTCATTCCATGTCAAATCGACAAATTTTTTACCTGACCCCCTTTGATTTC